TGAACCAATCAATTAAATATTATCCCTAACAAATCATTCACTAATCCCTCTAAAAAAACCCCCAATTTGTTTCTCACCTCCCTCTCAAAAAGCCTCTCTTTGAAGCATTTGTTGCTCGTGTCGCCTCGTTCTAATCCATCGGATGATCTACCCATTTAAGCCGTGGGATTATAAAATCGAAGTTCTAGAGATTGGAATTGGAACTCCGAGTGGAAGCTGAGTTTATGAAGACAGGAGTGTCTCTAGGCGAGTGCGTTGTGGTGCCACGTGAACTACCACTGTTTCCCATGTCTTTTGTCTTGTGGAGAAGAAAGGTTCCTGATAAAATGGTCACAAAGCCACATAGCTCGGTCGCAATTTGCAAACCGCCCTGCGAAGCCCAGTCCTGGACCATAAACAAAATGTTGATGATGAATGTGCTTATTATTATATACACAAATGAGAATCTTTTCAGTTTATGAGTTAGTCGATGATTTACTTTACCTTGAACATGATCATACTAGCTAAGATGGTGAAAGTTGTAAACATAACGTAGTACACCGGCGATATGACTGCTGTGTTGAAATTATCCAGAGCCTGCATAGATAAACACAAAGATTAAAAAAAGAGTTTGTTATTAAAATCTGACAAGAAAATTAATATCAAAATCTTGTTTTTAATTACCTTGTTTAAGTAGTTGATTTGCAGAATGCAACATATGGTTACTACTATGATGAAAATCCATGCGTGGAAGTACTTGAACTGGTTCATCCCGGAAAAAGTCAACTTTATGGCGATTGCTACAGCTTTAACACTCATTACCTAACACACAAGAGAGACAAGAATACACTTACTTAAAAGCGAGGAGAGAGAGGTAACTACGAAAAGAGATCGAAAACGTACAGTAAGAGAACCCATTAAAGAGCAAATCCCAACATATACTATCATATGCGTCTTCCCATAACGTGGCTCGTAATAGAAGATCAGCGCAAGCACCACAACCAAAACCACAGCGGAGTACGCAAGGAAACCTTGGTTAAACCATTCAAGCAATAGAACATGTTTAACTCCACTTAAAGAGTATATGTTGTTTGACCAAAACAAAAAGACCTTTGTAGC